GCCGGCCAAACGATGGCCCCGCCCCTACACAGCTTACAACGTGACGATATCCGCGTTGGCTGTTTCCATGGCGATGGTCAGAGGGTCTCTGCCTTCAGAGTCCCGAGCCCCCAGATCAGCTCCGCGTTTCAGAAACAAGCAGGCGAGCCTGGAGAGGGCGGCCTGGTTCAGCCGCGCTCCTTGCCAGAGCCTCCCTCCCCGGTCCGGGTCCCTCCCGCTCCCGCAGCCGCGCTGCCCCTACCCCGTGTGGCCCAGAATGGTTGCGTGATGGAGCGGGCCCCTGCCGGCGCTGTCTGCTTGGTTCACGTTCGCTCCGTTTTGAAGCAGAAACTCACAGGCCAGGAGAGAATTCTGTGTCCCAGGTGTTGAGAAAGGAGGGGTGGAAAGACATCTTTGAAAGCCTATTTAAAGAGGCTCCGTGGGGGAGCAGGGGGGCATGGGGTGGGGGCGAGGCTGGGGATCAGGGCGTGCAGAGGGTGGGGCAGGAATCAGGAGTTCAGGGTTCTGCTGGAGCGCCCTATGGATTCATACATTAAATTCCCAGCACAACCTTATGAGGTATGGCATTCCAATGGTACAGATTTAGGAAACAGGCACAGTCAACAGGTTAGTAACTGCTGCAAGTCTCCTTCCAGGAAGGGCTGAGCTCAGATTCACACTGCAGTCTGTCTCTGCCTCGAGCCCTGTTGGGAACTAGCTGATCTAGCTTATCACTCAGGCTCTGTGGGGTGGGCCTCCCAAGAGCAGGTGGAGGGTGAGGGGGCGTGGGGAGCATGTGACAGGGTTCTCACAGCAGCTGTGGCCTGGATCAGTGGCGTGGCATTCTCTTGACCACCGTTAACCCAGTTGACATCAGCTCCATGGGCAAGGGCGTCTGCCATGGTGGGAAGTGATGGTGGATGCCCAGCGGCTCGAAACAGGAGGGCCCCAGAGTGCAGGCTGCCCAGGTCATCAGAGGGGGGCTCTGCTACAGGGATTTGGTTCTGTTAAGGAGATCAGCTAGCAGGCCGGAGGAAAGCCCTTGGCATGGCTCCCTGTTACTGTGATGGGATTACAACCTCACTCCAACCCACGGTGCCCCTGTGTGTTAAAGAGTAGAGCTGCTCCACAAGGTCCGTAGTTTGAAACCACCTGTGGCTCTGAGGGAGCAAGATGAGGCTTTCTTCTCCTGTAAAGAACCACCGTCTCAGAAACCCACAGACAGTTCTACCCTGTCCTATAGGGTCACTGTGAGTCTGATTCTACTTGATGGCAGCCAGTTTGTGTGTGTGTGTGTGTGTGTAATTTTTATGGAATCAGATCACCAGGCTTTGTTCCCATGTGAGTGAGTTTGAAGAGGTGAACTGAAAAACAACAGCAACCATAAAACCCCAAAATTCTGCCATTCGGTCAATGCCAAATCATAATAACAGGGTAGAACTGCCCCTTGTGGGTTTCTGAGATTGTAGCTCTTTACAGGAGTAGAAAGCCCCATCTTTGTAGAGGCTGATGGTTTCGAACTGCTGACCTTGCAGTTAGCAGCCCAACTCATAGCTACCGTGCCACCAGTGTTCCTAGACAGGTAAGAAGTGGAGCATAAGCACATGTAACTTGTGCTGAGGTCTTCATGACACTGGGGCCCGTGAGGTAGAGCTGGATGGGGGTGTGTATTTGTGTGTCTAAGTGTTCATGGTGTGAGGGACCTCTGGATGTGGGGGGCAGACAGCTTCATGTACCTCACCCTGTCCAACCACCCAGTCCAGCTGGGACGCCGGTCTGCTGACGCTCGGACTCAGCTCTTGAGGCTAGCTCGGCTCCAGCTGGACTCACACCTTCTTCATAGCCCCAGGAGACTCCAAGCTCATCCCCATTCCCACTTGTTCTCAGGCTTGGTGATAACTCCTCCTTATAGTGATGCCTACCCCCAGCCCCATCCCTTCCATTCTTAGTGCCACGGGCATCGTCACTCCCTGACACCCTTCCCTCCCTTGTAAAATCTGGGGCAGTGTTTTCTTGTCCCCGACATTCTCAAGGAAACAGCTTAGGCCTCATACACTGTGCAAACCCTCCCCTCCCCCCACCAACCTCCCTTGCCTCCCCATGCGGCCCGACACCCAAGCTCACAGGCCCTCCATGAACGCCCACCTAACACATATACCTGTCTTTCCACTGAAGCCCCCTGGTCTGGACCTAATGATGGAAGGCTTCGGGGGCACAGGAGGATGCCCCCTGGGAGGTCCCCTGCCGCCTCTTTGGCCCTGCACTTCAGGAAGCTTGGTCAGGAATTTCTTTTCCACATATTTGGCATGAATCCAGGCCTCCTTCTCCTGCCTGGGAGAGAGGGAGAGGGTAAGTCTTCCTCGTCCCATCCCAGGCTTTCCTCACCTACACCCAGACCCCTCAATGGCCCCAGAAGGGCCTTCGCCCACGCCTCAGCCTCACCCACCGGGAGCAGCTGGGCCCTGGCTTCTTCACCGCCATAGCATCCACACGCGCCTCGTAGATCTGGTTGATAACCACGTTCCCCAGCTCACACATCAGCTGCAGGCGTCCAGGCGATGCAGACAGGTAGGGAGGTGGTGGTGGTACGTGAATGCCGGTGCCCCACTCAGGTCCATCATCCTTGGTCCTCCCTCCCGCCTCCCCCAGGCTTCACTATGTCCCAAGTCACCTTCACTAGTTCTGGCTCCCATGAATCAAGAGTCAGAGACCGGACTTTGGAGAAATGGACACCCAGGCTCCTGGAGGGTCAGAGTGGGAGTCAGGCCCCCTGTGGGGCAGTGGAGTGGGGACGAGGCATCTGCTGCTGTCACTCCTGAAAAGACTTGGGAGCAAGGTCCTGCCTGGGAGAGTGGGAGCCAGACCAGGAGGTAGCAGGGTGGTTGCAGTGGGTAGCCTTGACCTGGTTCTGGAAGGATTCAGCCTGCTCTCTGTTCCCACGTGCCCAGTCCTGCATTTTGGGGGCCTCACCCTCCTCCTCCAGCCACCACTCTTCTCTTGAGACCCTTGGGTGTGAGTAACTCTCACCATGCCTTGCCCCTTCCCTCCCGCAGCACACTGACCCCGGGTGGACTGCTTTGTGGACTTGCTCCCTCATGGCCGCCTCTCTGCTATGCCATCCCACCTACTCCAACCAAGTCAACCAAACCCCTCTGAAGGGTTCCCCCAACCCTGGCCCAGACCAACCCATCAAGGACCCTCTTAGGTCCGTCCGCCTGGTGCTCCTCTAGGCTCCGCCCAGGCCAGGGACAAGTGATAGACCAGAAGCTAAGGAGGGTGGGGTGGGGCAGGACATGCAGGAAGAGAAAGGCCTTGTTAATGGACTCTCTCTGGGGCAGAGGGCGTGTGTGCAGGCAGCTTGGGGGGGGGGGGTCCACATCTGGGACTCTAAGGGGAGGGTGTGACCTGTGGATGCCAGAGCACTGGATGCAGAGGGTGACACCAAGGTTGATGCTGGCCCACTCGGGGGCTGGCTCCCGACAGTCACAGCACTGGGCATTGCCATCCACACTTTGTACCTGGGCTGCCACGTGCCCAATGCCCCCAGACTCCCTGCCCCTGGCCATCCCGCCGTAGCCCAGAGTAGCGGCAGAGCCCATGGCCAGGTGTCCTGAGCCCTGCGAGAGACAGGAAGGGAGGGGAATGAAGAACGAGTGCCCCATCTCCTGGGCTAGCCTGGCCCTGCACTCCCAGGTGAAGGCACCTGGCCTGGGGTCCGCAGGTTGTCATCGGGGTGAGCCTGGCTGAAGGCAGTGGCGATGCTGCTCTGCACGGCACTGACCCACAGCTGCAGCAGGCGCTCTGAGTCAGCCTGGAGGAAGCAGGACCTGGATGGGAAGGGCAAGGGGGACAGGGGGAGGGGGGCAACTGAGGCCTGGGGAGCAATGCAGCCAACTGGGCAGGCGGACATGCAGTTGGGAGTCAATGGTAGCAGCGACATTGGAATATTTCCATGCCAACTGATAATATCCACCTAACTATCACTCATAAAGGAGCCCTGGTGGTGTCATGGTTTCTCATTGGGTTGCTAACTGCGAGGTCAGCAAGGTCAGCAGTTCAAAACCATCAGCTGCTTCTCAGAAGCAAGGAACTTCTACTCCTGTAAAGAGTTACAGTCTCAGAAACCCACAGGGGCAGTTCTACCCTGTTCTATAGGGCCACGATGAGTCCGAGTTGACTCGAAAGCAGTGGGTTTGGCCAGGAGCAGTGGTGGTGGAGTGGTTACTCACTGGGCTGTTCTTGGGAGAAAGATGGGGGCTTCCTATTCCTGTCAAGAGTTATAGTCCCAGAAACTCACAAGGGCAGTTCTACCCTGCCCCATAGGGTTGCTAAGAATCAGAATCCACTTGATGGTGGTGAGTTTGGGTTTGGAGTTTATCACTCATAATCTGGGGCCCTCAGCCCTGCACCAATGGGTAGGTAGCTGGAGCTGCCTAGACACCTGGGAGACCTGGCTCCAGGGATGCCCCTGTGATCAGCCCTGCCTCTTCGGTGGGTCTCAACTTGACCATCACCCCTGGGCCTACACTCACTTGCTGGGGGACACCACCTCAAAGGAGAAGCGCCTCTCTGAGTCGGGGCAGAGCTTCACTGTACAGAGTCGCAGGTCATCCACCACCACAGTCACGGGGTCCTGGGAGGGAGAGCTAGTCAGGAGCAGCCGTGCAGCCAGTGGCAGTAAGAGCTGTGTCTCCCTGGGATCCAGGCATCCGAGGCCCTGGGCCTACCCACCTTGTACTTCTTCTGGTACACCAGCTGGTTGCTCTGAATGGTGAACCAGCGTCTGGCAGGAGTGGAAACAGAGTGAGAGACTGAGAGAACATCAAGGTGAGGCTTGGGACAGGGACCAGAGGGAGGCTGTCTCCTCTGCCCCAGAGGGATCTCGCTGAGAGATGTGTGGGGCTGAGACATCCCAGAGAAGGGTGGCTATACAAAGTGGAGGCCCTTCAGATCTCAGAGGGTCCAGAGTGCACAGACTGATGACGTGAAACACTTTGCCTAATCAAATAAACCTAATACTCCAAAGAAAAGTCTGACAAACACAAGTCTCTTGGGGACCGGCTCTCTTTTTGAATTTGTGCCGAAAGTTCCAGATGAGCTGGCAGTGGCCTTAGAGGAGAGAGAGTCAAGTCTGCGCACATCCCCACCCTGAAGTGGGTCCCCAGGTCCTCAGAGTGGAGTCCAAGTGCCAGGAAGGGCCTGCAGGACCCCCAGTGACCCCATCCTGAAGTACCCCAACTTGTGACGTCCTTTCCCTCACTCTGTCCAGGCCCACAGCTCCTCTTGGTTCCTCAAACATTCTAGGCACCCCAGGGCCTTGGCACTAGCTCTTCCTTCTCCCTACAACACCCTTCCCTCAGACAGCTCCCAAATCTTTCCCTAGAAGTCAACCTGCTCATGAGCCCTGCCCAGAGTCCCTATTTAAAAGTAGCAAAGCCTCCCAGGTTTTGACCTCCTTCTCACCTTACCTTGTGTTTTTCCCCCTATGGCATGCTTACCTTCACCCATAACGTCCCATCCATCTAATTACTATATTGTTCCTCTTTGTTGCCGGACTAGAAACTCTCTGAAGGTAGGGTTCTGTGTGTGCTTAGCATACAGTAACCACTCAGACCGATAGATACCACATTTGATGGGCCTGGCTGGTTGGGCATCCTCTCCTCACCGGCTCCAAGTCTTAAACGCATTGCTGGCCCGTTTGAAGAGATGTCCTTCCATGACCAGGCCCCCGGGGCCCTCCTTTAGGCTTGGCTCAGGCTCCTCCCCACCCAGCTCCTGGGGAACAAGAGGGTCAGAGGGCACCTGGGCCAGGCTGAGAACAGGGCCACAGGCCTGTCTGCCCTCAGGCGGCAGCCTCCCTGCTCACCTTCTGTTTCAGCAGTACATGCCTCTGCTCCATGTCCCTCTTCTCTCGTGCTGAATTCAAGACCAGCCGGTGCAACTGGGCATAGGAGAGACATCTCAGAACCTGGTGGTCTCCCCCAACGATGCCAGGAGAGTTAGCTCAAGACCCACAAGGCTCCCACCATTTCCTGCTACCTGGGCACCTAGCTCCTTGCGATACTGGCCCAGCTGGCTCAGCTCCTCATGGCCTTGCTGGAAATGGACAGCCTGGGCCTCCACTAATCGCAGCACCTGGGGGGTGTGGAGAGCAGGGTAGAGCAGAGGAAGGACCCCGCTTCCCTTCCCATCTCTATTGACAGGCTCCCCCCACTCACCCTGGCCACCACAAACTCACAAATTCCATGATGTCAAACTTCCTCTTGTCCTCAATCACATTGACCTGAGGGCCCCCAAGAGACCCCAGGTCAGTCTGGAAAACACAGAACCCCTCCCACTCGGCATGAGGTCTGCCTCCAGCCTCCAATCTGACCCTGAGGCCCTGGCACCGGAGGAAGGCAGGTTGAAGTCAGGCACCTGCAGGGCGTAATCCAATGCCCGTCCCCGGTACCCAGCTCGCGCAGTCCGCAAAGCAGCTCCGGCCTCTTCGGCCTCCTGGGTCCGGCGCCGGGGAACCTCGGCATTGTGAGTAAGAGCCACCTCCAAGCTTTCGGATCCCCGCCAGAAGTCCCGGCGAGCCTCCCGGAAAGCTCGGAGACCCCTGAAGACGCGGAGAGGGCGTGGGTAGATAACGCAGGATTCGCGACGGGCCCGTCTACCCAACCCCCTACGACCCCAGTCCCTTCAGCTAGCCTGTGTGGGTTGTCAGTTGTGACCAAGCTGGCTCATGAATAATGAGGTGGGACCATTACGACCATGTTTTCATTAGCTGGTTGTCAGGAGGAGATTGGCAGGCCTTTCTTCCTGGCCTTAGTCTAGGAGCATGAGGTGCAATGGCCAAGAATGAAACCTAACCTGGGTCTCCTGTGCAGAGGGCAAGAAGTCCACAGCTGAACCTCCACTGCTCTTAAACAGCCTCTGCCCATCTGCTACTCAAGGGGGTCCCCAATGACGGGGACACAAGGCAGCCCCCCTACCCCCCTCAATGTCACACTGTGCAGACATCCAAGGAAGAGGTGAAGGGACAGAATGCCGAGGGCCCGACTCCGTGGTTCTGGGAAGTCCCATGGTCATGGGAAGAGGGTTGGAGGGCTGCTGTGGGGTCGGGTCCTCCTTCCCTCCCAACTCACTCCTTGACCAGGGTCTGGATTTGCTGCTGCAGGGTGTGCTGGGTAGCATCTAGAAGCTCCTGAGGGGAAGCAGAAGTTGGAGGTGGGGGTCAAGACCCCCACCCCAGACCATCTTGTTTCCCCCTCCAGTCCTGCCTGCCCACACTCACTGCCTGGCTGTCCAGCTTGTGGCTCAGGCTCGCAGTGAACTTTTCCAGACATTCCTAGGGGAGACGAGGCACAGAGACAGTCTTGTTTGTGAGGTGGCGGGCCCTCCCGATGCTGGACGCAGCCTGCTCTGGTGGTCTCTGGGGTTTGCCCCAGCCTTGCTCTGATTTGGGTCTCCCAGCAGACCCCAAAGTCAACCCTCCCCTCTCCACAGGGCCTCCTTACGCCCCAGGCCCCATCCTACCCTGGTCAGAGCCCTCCACATACCGCCATCATGGGCTCCGGTGGACCCAGGCGGCCCAGATCACAAATGCCGAGGATGAAGGCGCGGCCGGTGGCAACGTAATGGCGCCCACTTTCCAAGAGGCAGGTGCCCAGCTTGAGGAGCTGGGGAGCAACACAAGGCAATGGGGAACGATGCTGGCCATCGCCTCACCTGGTGATGCCCCCACTCCACATCACCTCCCCACCCCCAGATCTGGTGCCCCTTCATCTAGCCCTGTCCACAATCCTGTCCCATTCTGCCCACCTCTGCCGGGTTATTCCCATGCCTGGTTGTGTTCTCAACTCAGTCCCTTTGCTTGTCCTGCCCTGACTCTGGAATTAGCCCCCTGTCCATTCTCCCCAGTCTGCCACTGAGACCAGTGCCTGCTTCAACTTCACCGTGACCTTCACCCACTCCCATGCCCTGTCCTGCCTGCTTGGACTCAGAGCTTCCCAGAAACTAGACTTTGCTGTCTGGCTCATAAAGAGAATTTTCAAGGCAACTGGTATTAACTTTTATCCTATTTCGGGTATCTACTTGTCTGATTTGTGCTCACAGGATCTCTCTCTCTCTCTCTTTCTCTCTGCCACTGAGTCTATCCCAACTCCTAATGACCCTAGAGGACAGAGTAGAACCTGTAGGTTTCCGGGGTTATAAACCTTTATGGGAGCAGACAGTCTCGTCTTTCTCTCAGTGCACATTAATTGGTCACCTATTAGTGGTCAGGCCCTGGTATACACAATGGGGACTGAGCAAAACCCAAAACATCCACTTCCCTGTGCTCACTGAGCTTACACTCTAAACCCTAAGCCAAGCCCACAGCCATTGAGTGGATTCTGACTTAGAGTGACCCTGTGCAGGGCTTGTGAGGCTGTATATTCTTTACGGGGTCAGACGGTTCATGCTTCTGAGGAGCGGCCGGTGGGCTGGAACTGCCAACCGCGCAGTGACCCGACAGCGCCACTAGAGCTCTTTGATTTACACCCTAGTAGGGGAAAAAAATCGCTGGGAAACAAATAAGCAACTGTGATGGACACACACTAAAGTGACTCACATGCCTAGCGGGATCCCATATGATTCAGATCCTCATTTGATCCTTTCCCCTGCGTAAGAGCAGCACTGTGACTGGTTTCTAACCACTCGGATGTGGTGAGGAGGAAGCACGGCACTCCTGAGATGACGATGTGATAGGGGACGGCTTGGTCTTGCTAGCAGACACTAGCCATGGGCTGCGAGGATGGGAATTGCCTAGGGAGAGGACCAGGTGGCAGGGAACTGTGTGCCACTTCTAGGAGACGTTGGCCTCTGCTGTGAAACAGCAAGGCAGTCAATCTAGCGGCAGTGCCTGGCGGAGAGGAGCAGCCCGAGCCTGGGGTGAGACTGCGGCCCTCGTGGAAACCTTGCTTGCCGGCTGAGAACCTGGCTCAGCCAGGCCCAAACTCCTGACCGGCGGAAAGTGTTAGGGTATAAAGCCCCATTGCGTTCAGCCACTAGATGTGTAATCATTTCTTGCATGGCAGGAGAAAATTAATATAGCAGTGAGCCTCCCTACCAACTTTGTCCCCTGGCCCTGCCCCTCTAATCTTCATCTCGACCCCATTCTCCTCCTCCTCCTCCTCCTCCTCCTCCTGGGGGCTTGTCTCTCGGTCAGAATCACCTTCTCCAGACGAGTCTCCAATTCTGACACTTCGGCTTCCACCAGCTCGATAGAGGCTCTGGGAAAGGAGGGTTGGGTCACGGGAGCAGAGCTTGCTCCCTCTGGTCTGTCAGCCTGCTCCACCACACTGAGAGGTTTGGGCCTGGGGGTAGCCGGGGCAGACAGGGAACTACTGGGCTGAGAAGACCCGTCCACGCGCCCTCCGTGGCTCGCTCGCACTGCACACAGGCTAGGAGCCACTGCGGCCGGGCCTGAGCAGGAAGGGTAGGAGGGTGGCTGTGTCACAGGCAGGAAGTCGCTAACCGCCCCAGAGCAGGAGCTGGGGGAGGGGCAGGGGTCTTAGTGAGAGGTAAGGAAGGAATCCAGTTGCAGGCTGGGCTGGGGGAACTGGGGAAGCCAGAAGTTTCGAGCAGGTGGCAGAGAGCACCAGAGCAGCCAGATTTGATAGCAGAGGTTACCACTTGGGCCCACAACCTCACTCTTGTCCCTTTGAGACGTGCTATACGGAAGGAAATCAACCGTGCGTGTGCGTGTGCATGTGGGTGTGCGTGTG